GTTTATTCCCCAGACAAGAGTTCATACAACCCTAGCGAACCATTAAACATAACGATTTTATAAAACAATTTCGAACAGAAATCGTAAATTTTCTTTCTTTTTGGGGCTTTTGAAAACTATGTTGATTCATGTATCTATTATCGCTATTATTTATTTTTAAGATTTATATAAACAACATATATTATAGTAATCTATATCACGTGTATGAAATTAGACCTTCATTACTATTTTTGAACTTTGTGAAGGTTAGCCTGTTAACGAGGCTCTCCGGGGAGGGGGCCTTCTCTCCCCCCTCCCCGAGAGCCTTGTTCACAGGCTATGTGAAGGTTAAAACAAGACTCTGTAATTCCTACAAGACAACGAACATTGTACTGGGAGCTCCGCTTTAAGTAATGCCTAAATTTATATATTAGTAATCTATTACTAGTTATGTACTGACCTGTACAGAATAGGAAGCACCCTTAATGTCCTTGTAGATGGAATAGGCTTCCAGTGAATCTCCATTATAACAGCTGTTATTACGAAATGGATCGATGCGTTCGATAACAAACTGAAAGAAGAAAAAGGCAGTGTCAATATTATAGTAAAGAGTTCAAAAGAAGTGTCTCAGTTACAAAATAATTTGTTAAAGACTAAAAATGTYGAAATAATTACTCTCACGTAAATAATCACGTTTTTGGTACCTTAATGATAAAAAATCTTAAAACTCTGAATTATGCTAGAAAACCATGGATTGTGATACTTAAGATAATAGTGGTAATGATCGAGATTGTAGCGAAAAACGACTCCTCACCTTCCTTACTCCTATAGAAGCAGACGAACCAGGGGATACAGTAAAGCCGTGAGTAAAAGGAAAGGGGATTTGTCTTTGATCAGTGAGCAACACTTTAACGCCTGCCTCTTGACTAAGAACGCCGACATACTCCTCTTGGTTAATATATAAATCCAGTGTCAACYCTAAATAAAGATAAGATAAYAGGGCGGTTCATTTTGAGATCCCCAGATGATCGTATGACACCATCCTAAAAACATGAACCAATTATTATTAAGGGACTGTATGGTTKCTAAAATGCATACTATTGCCGTTTCCTCGATGGTAGTCAATTATTCTTGAAGAATGCACAAAATACACATATGAAAAAGTACTAAGTAGCTAGTGCTAAAAATGCTATTTGTACTTAACGGAAATGACCTCATCAATAATGTTTTAAATTAAGGGATACAGGAAATATTTTTAGAAAAAAAGCGTGAGTGAGTCTCAACATATATCACTATATCAGTATCCTACGATCCTGGATAGAAATGTTGAGAATTCACTGATATTATTTTTGCTTGGATTCCAAAACATTTAGTTAATTTCATGATACGAGGTTCTAAACCTTTAATATAATCTTTTACGCATAAAAAATTCAAGATACTTTACGGGAACTAGTTTCGTGTTCATWGACCTTTTCAATCCTTAAAGATATATAATTTTATGCAAGCACCTCTTGTGGGAAAAATGCCAAATTTATTCAATTTCGTAAAGTAAGGCTTTTGCCGGAATTGGCTGATGCCTGACAAAACTTACCAAACATTGGTCCTGGCTTTGAGATATTCAGTGGAGGCACGTGAGAGCCACTTTCACTTACTCCTGCATTAAATGTGTAACAATTACCATATCGCCAGTTCCAACCATGACGCCAGTACTTTAGAAAATCACTGAAAGCGGTAAACAAGCAGCGGTGATCAACGCGCGGGCTACAATATACTTTTTACTTATTAATAGAGTTTTAGATTGACTTTTTCAGTTTCCCCGCAAACGACAAACGCGACTTCAATCGTTTTCCAGTATTTTATTTTACCTTTCGCAAATTTTCTCACAACACATGCACAAATATTCTTCTGTTTTTTCAACACCTGGATTTTTTGCCATTCTTTTTCAGTAATTTAATTAAAATAATCTTTTAATGGTCCGTTACTGACAACTCTCCACGGCAGTTTTATTGTGCGATATCACATGATTTAGTTTGGACGACAGATAGTGTTTGTGCCTTGATTGCCTTGAATTCCAATCACTAAAATATGTATTCTTCACGATTAATAATATTCAATATTCAATATATGTATTCAGATTCTTTACAGCCACCATCGAATCAATCCTACTAYATGGGTGTGAGAGTAGCCTGCAGAGCAGGCGTCCTTTTGTTGGGTTTGAGAGGAAGAATCGGGGTTTTGGGATTCCTGTTTGGACCAAGGGCCCTCCCCCTTCGCTTCTTTTTTGCTTGGTTTCAATTTTCGCTCGTTCCAAAGTTCCCCCAAAACCCCGGTTTTTCCCCAAACCCACAAGAACGCCTGCAAAGCAGGCTAGTGTGAGAGTTTTTCCTTGTCGAAAGCCCAAGAAAAGTCGCTAAATGGGACATACACTAGAATGCTGCAGAAGGCATTAAACATCCACTGGAGCAGATCTAGAGTTGAGTGCTAAGAAACTAGTGCTATGGGAGCCCACTTATGGACATCGAGGTCGAGGTAGAACAAAGACAACCTACATCGACACGCTGAAGAGGGACACTGGAGCATCCGACGCCAGCGAATTAGCTTCATTGATGGATGACAAGAGGATTTGGAGAGGACCAGTGGTTGCCCGCCTTCGTATGAAATGTATGTGTACGTATGAATTTCAATATACAAACAAAATTAATTGTTGTCTTTTGATTTACTTACCCTTCGTTACAGCTAAAGCCGAACCAAGAACACCGAAATATCATTTCCTCAAAGCCATGTCCTGATTGGATCAGGAGCTCCCTGTTTTGGTCGGATAGGATGCTTAGTAATTCATCCTGCACTAGTTCATCGGGATCCATTTCCACGTCACTTAGGAAGGGTTGGCTTCCRTCGTTCATGGAAAGTTTCTCCTTCATCACGTTTTTCTTTTCTTTGTCCATGCCTAAAAGACGTTTCATTCATCGTGTTGTTTGATTTGGCCTGTGCTTTGTATTTCATGAAGAGTTGGTGGATGTCAGGAAAGGAGTGCATCTTGGAGTTTTTAATGGCGTTAAGATTGCATATGGTGACCATTGGGAAAGTGATAGTCTAGATATAAAATCGTTACAACTGATTAAGTGTGCAGTTAAACGATGCTAGATTTAATTATATAGGGCATTTCTAGCAAAGATATATAGGGAAGAGAGCACCTGAAAATGTATGGGCGCCTAGCTGAGACATGCACGCTGAAACATCGCAAGATCTTTAATTGGTAATCRTGAGCCCTCATATCCGGTAACGTCATTTGTTTACACTAGCAAGACARATAAAATAATAATCGAGTTTAGCGGTTAAGTTCAGTTTGAGATAACCTAGAGTTTCCATTGAGTTAACAAAGATAAAATTCAAATGCAAAATCAATGTCAGGTAAAAAACATAGAACATAGAAAATGAGACCAAAAGGTATGCTGGGAAATAACATCTCAATGCTCTCACAGTGCAACTTAACAATTTATGAACATTCCACGAGTCGCAACACTAGATATAATACATCTTATTAGATATCGTATTTCCGATGTACCATCTTGGTCTCAGCTTCTTTCTATATTCTGATGTTTCTGAATCCGATCGAGTGTATGTCATAGTATATATCCCGCAATGTATCATGAGACATACCTCTTCCCTACCGACTGCACGTGGGTTTAGTTAATCTATTATATAGCACCATGAAGTCAGTCAGAATAAAGGAATTTACAGCTCAACAGTTAGCATTTTTTAAGCATTTTTTAAAAAGTGGAAGCCCTGCAGACAAACATTTATCCACTGGTATCCTCAAATCCTGTGTTGAAGTTATAAATTTGTCATTGTCTACTGGTAAGCTATGATGTTTCTCCTACACTGAAGATGGCTCGTGCGGTATCTTGCGTCACGAAGAAATCTCTTGACTGTGAGCAGCTCTCCAATTGTCGACCGCTTTCTTGCTTCTCATTCTAGTCTAAGACGCTTGAAAGACTGAATTGTGCTATGAAAAAGCTTGAAWACCTCAACACCTACAGCGCTCGTTCGTGTTACAAAAGACCTCCTTTTAGCCCTTGACTTTGGCAACGAAGTAATCCTCGTTCTACTTGACTACTCAACGGCWTTTGATAGACTTGAATGGTGTTATGGAATATCTTGGATATAGTTTTATGTTGGTTTAGAGTGTGGTTGTTCTTGGATCAGCGCTGCCAATATGTCTGTGGCAACGGCGTGACTCTTCTACTGGAACTCTGAATCAAGTTGTTCCTCAGGATCAGTATTAGGACCTCAACTATTTACCTTATTTTTCATTCCCTTTGAAGATATTATCAAGCTCAAAATCTTGATGCTATATTCTTTGCTGATGATACACCTATATCTACGTCATCTAGAATTCCAGTAACAGATCTTCCACTCTAAGGAGATGGGAGTCTTGTGCTGCTTACATAAAGGCATRGTCCGAGGAGAACATGCTTACTGTGAACGATTCAAAAGCTGGAATASTTTTTCAAGTATTTTTCTAACTTTTGTCGGAATGTGTAATGTTTGTCTTCTATACCTTAAAGATCAGCGACAAGGAATCTATGAATCCTTTTCGATAAACACATCAACTTTGAATCTCACATAGGTAAAATATTTGCRTTACTGCGTTATTTGCCCTAATAAATATTGGAAAAATTCGTMAATATCTTGATGACCAATGCACAACTGAGCGTTTTTTCATGCATTCATTACATTTCGCCTGGATAACTTTTTTGGAAAATTTCGACAGAACTAGTGTTTTTCTTAATTTATTTTTAAATAAGTACTAGTTGTAAAGCTAATAAATAGAAACAAATGAAAAATAAATTGTTACAAAACATTGTTGTCTTTGAATCCTAAACAGCAAGAAGGTACTTGACATTTTGTCATGATTGTAATAGCCTTTKGTTCGGTCTTCTGTCCCAACACTGAACTCCATTGAATTTGAACAAATGTAAATGTTGATTCTAAATTGAACAGATAATCTGGATTAATCTTGAGGCTGTTGGAGTTGTTGTACCTTGTAACAGAAAACTCGCTTCGTTCCATAACGATCAATGCAGTTGGAAATAAAAAGGATTTTTCCATATCCTGTCGTCAGTAGAACGGTTATCTAGTAGAACGGTTACCTTTCTTTGTGTGAAGCTAATATAATACTAAGATATATGCGCTATTTCTTTATTTTACATATTTTACATTAGTGCTCGAATAAATCTATCAATGCTAACACATCATAGGTTTTTCTATTCGCGCAGTTACCTGTTATTTTTCTTTCTTTTAGCTCTATCTGGTTACGCTGGTTTCGCATGTTATCAGTTTAGTCGTTTCTTCAATTGTAACACCATATTCCCTGATGATGGACCTAAGATCCGAAAAAAACCTCGGACAGTTGATGATGAATTATGATTTATATAGTGCCCTTTTTATATGGATATAATCAAAGGCGCTTTGCATTAAGAGAAAATATTAGAGTGCTACTTGGACGAAAATCACTCCAAAATTAAGACTCTTTCATTCGAGCTGGAACTTTGCTGAAAATAATCTTGAATACATTAAGAACCACTCACTGAAATATCTTTCTGATATTCGAAAGGAAAGGGCCAAAATTTTACGATTTATTTTCGTTCGCCATTAATTTCTTGTTACAAGAATTCGGCTCAAGAAGACTGGCACGAGTAACGTATGACGTCATACATTCAACCCAAACCAAAACATTGGTGGCTTATGTATGTACCATGTTCGTAAAACTCGGTTTATTTGGTTTATTCAAAAAATATATAATGTTTCATTTGATTCCTTAACTACTATATGACCAAACAATGTCTAGGCAATGAAATGTTTTCAGTTTCAATAATATTGACGATCATAATTGGGAAATTCCAATACATCTCGGCACACCAAGAATCACAACAAAGTTCATAGGATGCATGGGAGTTATTCTAGCGGCTCCATTGCGCGAAGTGACAGGGAGATTCGGGATTTATTCGAATCATTCTAAGGACAACAACTTTTCAAGGTATATTTACATACAAGCGGGAAGAGCAACCCCACAATTTGGGTCCGCGAGACCCAAAAGCCACAAAAGCAAAATCTACGAGCTGAGTGACAGACGCCGCTGTCGGGCGAGTAATAAATAAGAAACCTTTGACATGTTTTTTTTTACAAAGATGATATTAGATAATCGTATGTTTTTACCTATTAAATGCATAATAAACATTTTGGAGCAAATAATAAACGTTCTGTAGTAAATCAGGAGAATTACGAGCTCACATTCTAAATTATTCGGCACACAGATCTATATAATTATCAACAAATCTTCACATCACAACGCAATCGGATTTTTTTATATCATCAATAGCTGTTAGATCATATTGAAACTTCAAATTTAAGATCTTTATATCATGGACACCATGTAGCAAATACAAATCAAAGTTTTGATTTTGGAGCGATTTTCGTCCAAGTAGTCCTTTAAATAATAACACTAAACAAACATATATGCAAATGTTTTTTACAAGATAAGATATAAGTATTTGAAAATAAATCTGATATAAATATTATATTATATAAATATTCATTATATTATATAAAAATCGATGTTCATATTTAACAAATGATAAATATCTAAAAATTATTTATATTCAATGGTAAAAGTCAATGTTCTTATTCAGTAAGTAAGTAATGTATGATCTATATTTTATGATATATAAATTATAAGCGGATTTACGGAAATARATGAGTTTTTAAAATTGTCTTAAAATTGTGCAAAGTATTATTAATGAGGTAGATGAAACGTCAGCTGATTATCTACTAAAAATGTCATTATCATGTCGTTATGAAATGAAGTGAAGCAAAGATCCTAAACAACTGAACTGATGAAAAATAAAGTTAGCTATAGATATGGTCTGGTGGTCTGGGGGCAGACTAGTCTCTCCCGTGATGCTTCGGCTAGAACATTATCCTGCGTAATCCGTACGAACAAGGGCAGAAGAACATAATTGCTGTCAGGTYCGAAGTCCATACGAGATCTGCGGATGTCTTGTGGGTATGGMACAGTGGGGAATCGATTATTTTGGATTGTTATTGAGTTTTTCCTGTAAGAAGTGGTTTCTAATCCCAACGYATCCGTATATAATTTTTTTTTAGTATTTTTTATCACTTGTAAATAAACCTTGTTAGCTTATAAATTCGGTAGTCCCGCGGGAAAAAAGATAAATGAGTAGTTATATTTTATCAGATCAAKCTGGAATCCTGTGTTTGCTTTTCGTGGCCAGTTGCTGAAAATGGAATCTATGTTAAGTTCAAGTTCAAGTTTATTCACACACAATAAAACAATAAA